CGTCTGTTTCAAATCAAGTTGCCCATGCTGCGTTGAGCGAGAGCGTTGTTGCTGTTGCGGTTGCGAGTGTGGTGAATCTCGCGGCTGCTGCTGCGATTGCATGACAAAAATTTGCTAAATAAGTAGAGATTTGTAATCGAACATTGAACTTCTAGGATAAGTCTTGCAGTAAAATAATCGAAAAATTAAATTTCATAGCGTATCATCATGCATAATACATGAACAGTGTCAAATGACTTAAAATTCGAAAAAAAGGTTAGATTATACATGTATGTAAAAATCTGACAAAAGTCACACCATGTGACTCAGCATAATCGAAATATAACAGTCAACTCTCCCTTAAATGCACACTCTCTCATAGTGCACAGTTTACCACCTCGTTCCATATGTGCACATTATGTGATCACACCTCACAACTATAACTAACGGTTTCACAGATAGCTCATTGGCTATTTTCTAAGTGCACATTCTCACCATGATGATAAAGTTTAAAATTTGCGCAAACATACATTGTAATTTATTTTGTCACTAATAACTATTAAATTATACAAAACGAATATCTCTCGACGCATAGAGTACATATAAGCTTAATTCGAAATTCTCTTTAATTTAATAACGTTTCACTTTTTGCCGTTACTTCTTCCAACTTTGAAAATACCTCCCAGGTCCCCGCCCAAAAGGTTGTTCTATGGTAAGGTATTTTGTATTTTATACAAAGTTTCTCTATTGTCGGCTGTATTTTATGAAAATGATGTCGTGGAATGGATGGAAAGAGCTGAAAAACCCAGATTAGTTATTAAGTAAGTTATATATTATGAAAGTGCAGCTAAATAAAATTTTATTCGGTAATATGAAATAGCCTACATGGTGTTCAATCTGATAATTCAATCCACCGGTAAACCAATCGATCCACCACTGATATGCTGGAATTGCAGATATCACATCACGTCCAGTGACCACTTGTTCCTCAAAGAAACCCATATTCTGCGATTCTTCCTCTGTCAATACTCGCATTCCATTATGATTCAACGAGAACACCAGCGCTAAAAATAATCCGCATATCATTTGTGAAGAAATCAAGAAAGTGATAGCAAGTGAAATTTTGGGTATGTACAACCAGATCAAAGTGGCCACCCAAGCATAATGAATGCCCAGCCCAATTTGCTCTGCCGTTGTCACGGGCATTTTCACCGATTTGCCATTTTGGCCATCAGGGAGAATAAACAACATGCTTTGTGCTAACCAAGAGAATCGCGCAAATGCCAGTATCGGGAAGTAGAGTAATGTTTGGTATTTGATCAAGAAACGTGAGGTGCTCGGCGAGAATCCCCTTGATTTGATGAATTTTTCTGCAAAGTCCGGTTCAAACATATCAGTCAGCGCATATACAGACCAAGTGAGAAGTGGATGAGTATCAATATCGGGATCTTGTCCGTGTACATTGGGTGCAGCGTGATGAGTATTATGCTTGTCCTTCCACCTTGATAGTTATAATTAGTTATTCTTATATTATTATATTATTGCATATACTAATAAACACGATTCATTATCGAGACAAACCTACCAACTAGGTGTAAATCCTTGACAGACACTACCAAGAAATGCACCACCCACCAGATTGTTGTATGTTCTCTTCTCGAATACCTGATGATGAAGAAAATCGTGGGAAAGCCAACCACATTGTTGCCAAAATAATCCCATTAAAGTAGCAGATGAGAAAATTCCCATTAAGGTATTGCCATAATGTGCCAAGATAACACAGGATATTGCCCAAATAGTAAGATTTGATAGTATTTTAAAGACATAATAACTTTTCGAGGATTCGTAATAGTTTAATTGTTTAAAGTGTTCTTTAAGTTCACGTAATTCTTTTGTAAATCCTGATTACATAACACAATAGATTACGTTAGCACATATATTTTATCTAATAAAGATATTTAAAATTTGAATTTTATTATTTTATGTTACCGTTTTTTACAATAGAAAAATCAGCGGGCTCAAGATCTCCAACGTAATAATTAGACAATATCTCAAACGTACTTTCAGGATGAAAGTTGTAAAACGCGTCTAATTTAATTATAGTTTAATATGTTTTGGTTTTAGAATTAGTTAGATAAAGCTGAAATTCCAAAAATAACTAGCTAACCTGTGGCGTCTTTTCCAATATGTGTCAAAATAACTGAACCACCCGGATGCTCTCCTACGAATTCTCGAATATCATAAACTTTATTGTCTATAATTATATACCATGGTGTTTTCGAAAGGTTTTTTTGTTGTTCTTTTTCATCCCGCCAGTTTGCTAGCTTTGTTATCTCTTCCCGTCGGAATAACTGTGGACCTAATTTGATGATACACACTCCGAAAATCAATATGCCATGATAATATATAGTAAATTCAAATATTCTTGCGGGTAGTGTACCTTCTATAGTTGATTCGACAATTTCTTGAGGCGGCATTACACGATGAATTAATATTAAAATTATTTATTTGAGCAGAAATTAAATACGGTGATTGATATATATATACATATACAATATATTATAAGTAATTATTCGTCATATTCGAAGGACCGATTCTTAATAAAGAAAACTCGAATATTAAATAAAAATCACTGTTCTTTTACATTGTGGGTAGACAAAGATAACAAAGATAAAAAATATTTTTTTTGTTGGGGTAATACAAAGAAATAATGTTTTGATTATTTGGTCGATACTAACAACACGTATTATATTTAACTATTACGCGCGTGTAATCTTTTTTTTTAAATAGCATTCACACATGTCGCGCATGTATTAAATTATCAATGAACAATGTATTTTAGCCCCAACTTTCGATTGCTTTTATGCCCCAACCAAGATCATTTGTCCTATATTAGGCAGGTCAAGCAGGTACCGATTTATTTTGAGAGGCGTTTATTTTTTTCATTTATCGTGCTAAAATTTTAAAAGGAAAGGGTTATCAGAATATAATAGCTATTATCATACATTTATGCCGAGCAAAAGCGAGTCCGTAATTTTTACATTTTGCATGCCAATTTCTATGCTTATATGCTGATCCCAATTAATTTTTGGGGCAAATTTATTATTGTTTTCACTATTTTGGAATCAAAAAAACTTTTCATAAAGAATCATGTGAAACTAGAAAAAAACCTACAATCATGTGATTTTCCGATCCGTTTGATATAAAAATTTAAATATGATATACTAAAAACAGCAAATTTTCTATATAGCTCCAGTCAACAAATTCAAAATTAGGGTGCCAATTTATAATTTTTATCATATAATTATTTAGCCAGCATTATAAAATTAAAAAAAATCATTCTGATAAACAGCTATATCCTTGGAATATTATGTTTTAAAAGTGATTGATTTTATACGATAAAAATAATACGATATTATGTAATCCTTGCATTTACCGTTATTTTTATTAGTTTCATTACAGTTCTTTAATCTGAATACTCATTACAATAATAAATCAAAATTTGTTAGATTATATATTAATAATTTATTTTAATTTTAATTTTTGACAAATTTATTATATTGCTGAAATTCAAAAAGATCTATAATTAAAATAAGTTATATATAATAATTTATTATTTAACATATTATATTTTAGTTAATCTATAAATTATATTGATTTATATAATATATATTAAATTAATTAATATTATATATTATATAGATCAATATGATTCATTAGTTAATAAAAGTATAGTATTAATTATTTTAATATATAAATTAATATGATTTATTATATAATATAAGATTATATTATTATTATTTTATATATAATAATTCTTATAATTATGAAATCAGAAGATCAATTTTATTAATAAAAATTAAAATTTTCTCTCTATATTAAACCTTATAATTTTATTAATAATTTTTATTTTTATATCAAAATAAAGTTTATAAATATAATTTAATATATATTTAGATTTTTTTGAAAGAGTTATTCTAATTATAAAGTTAATACAAAAATTTAAATTTTATTTTTAATTAGTAAAATTTTTGCATTAACTTTATAATTAGAATAACTCTTTTGAAAAAATCTAAAAAAATCTGAAAAAAATATATATTAAACTATAACTTATAAATTTTATTTTGATATAAAAATAAAAATTATTTTTTAATAAAATTATAAAGTTTGATATAGAAAGAAATTTTATATTTTATTAATAAAATTAATCTTCTGATTTTCATAATTATAAAAGTTATTATATATATAGTAATGATTAAAAATAATATATTAGAAACTAAATTTATTAATAAAATATAGTAAAAATCAAAATTTTCTCTATATTAAAATTTATAATTTTATTAAAAAATAACTTTTATTTATATATTTAAAATAAAATTTATCAATTGTAATTTAATTTTATTTTAATATAAAAATAAAAATTATTTCTTAATAAAATTATAAATTTTAATATAGAAAAAAATTTTGATTTTTATTATAAGTTTTGAAAGTTACTTTCTAAATAATTTGAAATAAAACTATTTATAGTTAAATTTTTTTATAGTTATATTTCTTTATAATTACTTTTTTTTATAATTATTTTTTTTTAAGTTTTTTAATATTAATTAATTATAATTAAAAAAATCTTTTTATTATATATTAATAATTTTTTATTTATAATTAAATAATTAAATAAAAAAATTAAATAGAATACTAAAAAAAATTATTAAGAATATATATAATATATAAATAAGATTATTAGAATAAAAATCTAATAGCAATTGAATTTATTTATAATAATAAATAAAGTTTTACTAAATATATATTATTTAAGTTAGATTATAAATAGTTATTATATATATTATTATTCTATTATTAAATAATATTATTATAATTTTATAAAATATTAAAAGAATATAATAAAAATAATTAAAGATTTATTACTAAAAGTATAAAATATATAAATAAAATATATAATTAATATAAAAAATATAAAAAATTTTTTATTAGAGATTAATTTTTCTCTTTATTTATAATATTAATAATTTTATTAATAAATAAAAAATAATTAAGAAATTCATATCAAAATTTATTAAATTTTTTAATATTATTAATAAAATCTTTTTTATTATTTATAAATTATAATTATTATATAATTATAATCTTTTTAGTTACATTATATAATATATTAGAAAAATTTATATAAAAAATTCAAAATATATGACAATATAAATTAAAGTAAAATTTATATAAAAAACTAATTCAAGATAAATAAGATAGTTATATTTAAAACTTATTTTTTATTTATTATTATATGATTATTAAAAATACAGAACAGAAATAATATCTTTAAATAATAATTTAATATTACATAGAATTAATAATATAATAAATATAAATTAATAATAGATAATACTTATAT